GTAAAAAAGAAGACGTGCGCAAGACTCGTTAGACATTAAAGAATCCTCCACTCGGTAAAGTTGAGCCACAATTATTTCAGGACATTTCTAGATGTTCAGCCTTATTTGGAAGGAGCATTGCGGAAAAACTCCGTGAGGTTTCACGGCTTGAAATAGTTCTCTCAAACTGGGAGGAATCCCGCACCACGCCGTGACAACTAGCCGTGTCAAAGTGTGCTGTCTGTGAATGCAGAACGAGCAACAACTGATTAAATTTGACGTCGAACTGATATCGTCCTTTCGGCTGTCATAATTTTTGTTTTTGCCTGTAGTTCTTTTTTTTCAGAGCCAATAGGCTGGGTGATGTTTTATTTTGTTTTCGGTTGTTTGCATGGATATGATCAAAACAATCTGTTGCTGTGGTGGTGAGGACAATGACGGTTTGCCGTACGAGCGCTTCTATGACGACTCCAGTGTGACTCCAGTCAGACGAGACGACGGGCGACTCAATGGGTATGCTTGACGTTGCATATCTTACTCATCTGTTCCTTTTGTGTAGAGACAGTAAATTTGTTGTACCCCTCATACCTCAATCAGAGGAACTGTCTGGGAGCAGGAGAGAAAATTCGCTTTCATTCACCAGAGTAAGTGACAACCCAGTATATGCCGCAATATTTCAAGCTTTTTCAATTGCAATAGGGCTTGTCAAATCAGTAGAAGTTAGCGTGTGACGGGGTTGGGGGTGTGGTTCACTAGGACAGAAAGCGACTTTTTCGCGTTTCGCAGCGCGAAACATTTTTCGCTGCGGGAACCTCAGGTCCACCGCTGATCATGAGTGGACCTGAGGTTCCCGCAGCGAAAATGTTTCGCGCGCGAAACGCGAAAAAGTCGCTTTCTGTCCTAGTGAACCACACCCCGGGGTGGATTGGGTCGACGGACTACTCGAACTCAGTCCTTTAAGCTGCCTCATTGGCCGATGTCAGACTTTGCGATTGGAGCGATTTTGCACCAATTGCAGGAGCGACGGATCGCTCAGCGATGCGAGCGACGGGAGATTTACCCGAGCGGCGCCGTGTGTATCGGTATTCGGCGGTGGTAAATCTCCCGTCGCTCGCATCGCTCAAGCGATCCGTCGCTCCTGCAATTGGTGCAATCGCAAAGTCTGACATCGGCCATTCGACGCTTTTTCTGCGCTCTCACCAGCCCTAGTTGGTTCACCGACCCTTACATTGTAGTCTCCGCCATTCGCGGCAGGGCCACAGAAGAAAGTTCAAGTAGTCCGTGAACCGTTACGCTGTTGCCGTCTTCATGTATCCACAACTTTCTACCTTAAAGCAAGTTTTATTGTCTGTGTGAAGCCTAGGCCATCCTCCTCACTCCCTTTTTTCCCATTTCGGTGCTTCGTGGTCTCACCTAATGTAATAAAGCCAGTTTCTATCAGCTGTGCTCGACCATCAGCTTAACTGGCGTCTGCCTTGAAGCATATTACGAAAAATAAGAGAAATTCAACTCCATGTAAACTCCTTTCTATAATTTCTCAATTCTACGCTCCATAATGGTTCTGCTCAATTTCTCACAAGTTTTGCCGTTCCAGTCGCGGAGTCGATGAGGTGGACAGTGTTGGTTGGGATGCTTCACGTAAGGCTGTAAAAAGCAAAGAGGAACAGGAAGAAGAAGCTTTGAATCGAATCCTTGAAAACACTCAGCACGTGAGTTTCTTCAGCTTCGGTTCACTACGTATGAGTTTCATATATCATTATGCTGAGGTTGGCCTACTTTCACTATAATTTACGTAACGACGCTAGTCAGAGGGTTTCTGAAAAAATGTAGTCCAATTTTTTCCATACTACACTGGCGCTATAGCATTCAGAAGAGCTTAAATTAGTTTTCTTCGCATTGGCAACATCGGTTTTGCTCATTTTGCAGATATAAGCTGTTTTATTCTCTCTATCTTATCCACGGGCTTTTTGCATCAAGTTGTCTTCAGGGAATGTTTGGTTTTTCACTTTTAGCTTGTCTACCGTCACATTCGAAAATTTATTTGCAATGACTACTGACTGCACTGTTGCTCTCATTGAAGAATATTCCGATCCTGCAATCATTACGCCTGTTTACGTTTAATTGGGGGTGTGTGTCGCAATGTCGCCCTACTTATGGTTACTTCGAATTTCTCGCCTAACTCCATTACATGTTCTACGTAATTCGCAAGCGCAAATATGTTGGTCCAACGGAAAACATCTGCAGCGCCGGCGAGGTGCTCTCTGAGCTGTTGGCATACTTGAATTGGGTAGAATACTCTCAGCTTAACAGTACGTATTGTCAGTGCGGTACCTCATTGGTTAAGCTACAATCACCGATTTATCAAAATTCTTTAACAGTTGCTATGTTAAGACGGTAATAAATTTACTGTTTTCCTCGTTCATAAATGTGTTTCAGAATATTATCGACGTCTCACATCTTGATGGCATGACATTGAACACAGCTGAATACTTAGGCGCGCGCTCAGTTTTACGAAGAAGCCATTCGTACGCATGATCAAAACGTGAGCCGAGGTGCTAACTCATCAACTAGTCCAAGTTGGTTTTTCCTCGCTTCTATAAATGTTATAGGGGATTATCTTCATCCAATTTCACTACTAATTCTATTCTATTTCTATTTTATTACCATCAATTATTAACCTTCATTGCGATCAGCTTTTTTTGTGTGCTCCACGCGTTATGCTTACATTCGTAGTCTTCGCAACATTTGAATGCAGTATAGTTTACAATGACTTGTGCAATCCAGTCGCTGTGTTTACTAAACAGCGTTTTTAACTTCTTCCCGTCATATGAGTGACCTCTTCATGAGTTGGAAGGCGTGGTTGTCTTGGGCACAGGGTGAATAACGGTCGAGGAATTCCTCGACCATGGCTCTCTACCGTGCGAGAGTAGTGTCGAGAGTGAATGAATGCGCGGAGAGCACAGACGGCTCGCAGCTGGCGAGAGTGAGCATCCGCGTGGGAGAGCGTGAAAGAATCCTCGACGAGCCGTTGTCTTTTCCTCAAGCGATTTTCACCCTGCTTGGGCAGGACCGATCTATCCTCCGACCATGCACCTAGTATACGGTTACACTTGACCTCACCATCCCAACTGCCACTAGTATTGAATTTCCTCTTTGTTTTATTTTTACTTCGTTTCGTGGCAATGGTACTTTTAGGTCGTCCCGTGAAACGTCTTCTGGAGGATTGTGGAAATAGAGCTGTTGACTGGCTCACGAGACCTGCACCTTCACATGAGTCCTTAGAGGAGATACGGCGCTGGACGGCAGAGTGAGTCTCTTTCTACTCATCTCTGTTTTTTTGTAAATGTGCAAGTTTTTTTTTTAGGATGAATGAGGCTGTGACGAAAGGAATACAAGTGCAACATAAAACAGATATTGTGGTTTATATGGACCTTTAATGACCAAATGCTATGACAATCACATTTCCGGAGATCGCTGAGAGTTGTTACAAGGTGAGAATATTTGCGAGCCTCAGGAAATGTAATTGTTAGGGTTTATACAAGTTGGGTTATGACCTGGAACGTGGTTTTAGAGCGTGTTGCTCCAGAGGCTCCTTCTATACTTTCTCATGCCTAACTTTTTCCGTATAAACCTTTTAGATCGGTTTCCTACTCGGTATAAATAATACAATACCGTAACAGTAGACTTTTCCATTCGGTGTTGAATTTCCGATCATATGTTCGTGTTTTTGTATAGCAGCTTAATTGCGTGCCTTATTTTTCTGACCGTCTTATTGCCCTGTGTGATATATGCCATGCAAAAATTTCCAATTCCTTGTTGAAATTGAACGTATATGCTCGTAGTTGCCGGTATTCCCTGTCAACGTCCTTGTTACCCATTCTTTACTTGGAGTTTTAACCAACCATATTGCTAGTTTTCATTCAAATTCACTATTATCACATGTGATTTAACGATTTCCTTCGAGTTTCGAATAACTGATTGAAGCGTGTACGGTTTAGGTTGAGCGTACGGTGTGACATTTATCTTCTTGCTAGTGATTATTTTACCCATTACTTCTTCCCTTATCCTTTTTTCCCTTTAGATCATCTATACCCTCGATACGACTTTGACGTTGGCTCTCTGTTCGAGGGCTCTTAGCTATACGTTTGTATCCGACCCCTTCCTTCCTAATACCCTCCTCCCGTTATCCATCACAGAGCTCATATACAGTTAGTTATCTTTTATCCCTTAATTCAAGCTCTTTTGCTTCTTTGCAATATTCGTTACGCCGAACGCTTGATCTTTGTAAGGATTGTATTTATAATTATTTTACCGAGTTTTTTTTAATAAATTAACTATCTATTTTCATGTTGTTTCGACACAAATTCGGTGCTGTATTTACAACGTTGTCTGCTTGTTTCAAGCTCATTATCCTTAGTGACTACTTCTTAATGAGTGGATTTCTCCTGACTTACAGTCAGGCATTGCTAAGTCGTTGCATGGTTATATTTCTCCTCATCCTGATATCGGTGAATATACTCATTCTTGGCATAGTTGGATGATCAAACCTTGCAATGGCAAAAGGTTTCCATCACATCAGAGCAGTGTGGACAACGTGCAGTGTCGAGGGAAGTTGCCTGAAAACATCAGGGCCTATACCCAGTGGGTGAAAATCGTGTCGAGTACGTGGGGTCGCAGAGGTACGACCCCCCTCCCGAAATCGAGATCCTGGCACGACCCCCTCTAACAGAGCAAATTAATTCAATTAAAATAAATCCTGCAAAACAAAAATCAAAAAAAATCAAAACAATCAAAAAAAATTCTGCAAAATAATGCTAAGGACGCTTCATCTTGTCATCTATGCACGTCTCCCATCGCTGCATACTTTTGTGTACATACTGAAATATCGACTCGAGGAAAGAGGCATTAACTTTGTGTGACCTCAAAGGCGAGGTTCGTTCAGAAACGCACAGAAATCCTGAAGACACGGGGTTGCGATTCAATCTTGATTCTTGCTTGAGTATATCAAAACAGCCGAGTGTATCAAAGGCCGATTCAACGGCAGCTGCGGCGCGATTGTCACTGGGTCAGATTTGCCGAAATTTCAAAAAAAAACGTCCGAATCTACACCCTCGATGAAAAGGTTGCATTCCTCCATTTCACAACCTTTGAAGCAGCTTGAGGTAGAGTTAGATAGAGCTGGATTTCGCGTTTCCAACAAGCATCGAAATTGCTCTGGAAGCCTTCCTTGCAGAAAGATAGGGTCTGTCAAATTTCGTCGAGTAAATGTCGAGGAGGCCCAAATTTTCACGCGAGTTTTTGCCACTTCAAGAGCAATATATCTCTTATATTGTAAGATCCTGAAAAAGGGAAGATAGTTTTGGAAAGCGGAAGGTTTGCGCTTCCTGATGGTCTGTTTAGTTTTCTTCTACAGCTTTTTGGTTGAAGAGATAATTGCGTCGAGGATCTATCGAGGTCGGATCCGGCCACCTGGAAATCCGCTCCCTCATTCACCATTGCAAGTGTGACTCGTTGGCAACACTCGGAATGTGTCTAGAACAATATCTTTGAACGCAAACAATAAGAATAGGAGCAATCGTCATCATCCGATTTGGTATTGGTATAAGCCATGCATCCCTCCTCCACTCACAGTTGCAGAATCGATTGAAAGGTGTTATATGATGGGGACCTTCGAACGAAACTGTATTGTAGTAGACATAGTGTGTTGTGCTATTCCTGTAACCTAAAAAACAACTTCATTTGCCCAGCGCTTTTTCTTCACGGTTGTCGTTTTTCCGACAGGGTCCCTAACAACAGCGTCATTCTCAGCGAGGTATTAAGGGAGAAGGAGCGAGCGATAGGCAGAGGAGGTGCCTTTGCAGCGCGTGCGCACATGTGGCACTCTTCTTTGCGGGGATGCACTTTCATTCTTTGTACTGCCTTCAAATACGCCCTTCTCATGAAGGTGGAGGAATGGAGCGACTGAACCTGCAAAGAAAATTTAATATCATGTTTTTTTTCGGATGTTTTCATTTTCTGCTGCGCTATACCCTATTACCTATCTGCACCATGATACCACTTCTGTTACTGACCCCCAAGAGTACGACCCCCCATGGACCAGCCCAACAGGTACGACCCCCCTGTCGAGGATTTCCTCGACCGATATTCACCCTGATACCCCTTCCCACCTAATTACAAGCCAACCAGTATTCCTCCCTCCATTCTTGAACTAAAATCTGTCCCCCCCCCACCCCTCTCGTTCTCGAAAATTCGACCCTCAATAGTGTGGCAAGGAAGCATACTTGAAGAAAGGCTACCCTTCTAGAACAACCCAAAAAAACCTGCCAACTATCAAAAAGTTATACTTCTTACCGAATCGCATATGTGCCCATTTTTGACAAGTACGACGTTTCCGAAGGAAATCCAGTGGGCGGCATGAAGCTCCTATTTATAACAGTGCGTAATCGGTATCTACTGGTTGATCGAATTGGTGCGCGATGGTGAGGAAGGTAGCTTGAAGTGGCACAAATTAACACAGTTTTTCCGCGCAAATATACCCGTAAATCTAAATTTGGGCTATATGTGGCAAGTGCTTCATCAAAATTTTCACATTTTTTAAAGCAATTCTTCATGTTTATTTGATAACGAAAAGTGTATGACAAAACAAATACCAGTGAAAGTGAGATATGCCAAGTAAATCAAAAAAAGAACATCTGAAATGGGACCAGTCTGGACTAGAAGCAATGATCGAAGAAAGCTGTGAAGTCATGCTCTTGTGAGGTAAACAAATAAGGCATATAATCGGACTGGTCCAAGAAAGCCCTAGAGAATTTTCTTTGATAGTTCATAGAACAAGAGATTTTGGGAACAGAAGTTCTTTCACCTGCGGACAAGACACTGCTTGTGGAATTTTCCAGCTCGGGTCCTTTCCGACGGGAAATGAAAGCAGCTGTGTCTGCTAAATGTGGCTTGTTAAATAGCACGCAGTTTCAAATAAGGTCCATACATTTTTCCAGCATGAGAGGGTGGATTGAGTCGATTTTCACCATAGAGTTCAATACATATTGCCCAACAGAGCTCAACGATAGTTCAGGGTTAGACGCTAAGACGCGTGCAGTCTTTTGTCTTGATTGGTTAGCTGGCTGTCCTGAGCACCACGGTTTTTTAGCATGGACTGTCGACCATCCTCCGCCAAGTATTCACAAGGGCCTAAGGCAGGCCATACTTGGCACTCTGGATCTGCGCATAAAAAATTGATTATGCGTGTGTTAATCAATACCCATTTCACAATGCAGACGAAGAGAAGAGAGAAGCGTGGTCGTGTACGCAGTCGAAATTCGGCCTTATTTCACTAAAAAACCTTATAATACTCAGTTGGCAAATGCTCATGGTGAGCAATCCCCGCGTTAGGCCGATGTCAGACTTTGCGAATCGCGCGATTCGCTAGCGTCCGCGGTCGCGTTGCGGTACCAGCCAATTGAGTGATTCACTGGCCGCGACGCGACCGCAGACGCTAGCGAATCGCGCGATTCGCAAAGTCTGACATCGGCCTCACGTGTTACGGGCGAAACCGACGGCCTTCAACGTTCCTTATCGTTCATGACGCAGCTTCTCACTATTTGAGGGTCGAAGTCCTTTTACGCCCACGCGTTTGCGCTCAATAGTTGTTAACGCTCTTTGGGTCCAGCCTCCCTTAATAAATACGCTGGAATTTAGTAAGGAATATTTTCTAGTTTGGTTGGCCACAAGAAGCAGAAGGGCTGTGAGAGACACGTGAAAATTGAGCAGAGGTAGAAAAATGCGTTCGGATAACTGTCACACAATATAAATTGCTATGGCAATGAGTAAGGCTGTCATAGAAGTAGCACAGGGGATCACAGCTGATGCGGAAAGATCATCCCTGTTACAGTTGTCCGTTTCACAAGCACACATCACTTCTTCGTATTCATTGTGCATCCATTTCCGAGCGTAATAACTTCGTATAGCATACATTCGAGTATCATTCTCGAGTAGTTTTCCTCTCACAGAATATCATGGTTGTAAATAATTGAAAAAATAAAGGTATGGTGTAACATACTGTGACTAATCGGTGTACGTTTATACAACCTTGCTTTTCGCTCACAATTTGTATGGTCCCAGTTCTTCCCATTCCATGTGTTATATGCCGTTGAGCAGCATATGTGCAGAAATGGCCTGTAAACGTTTTAAAGCTTGTAACTTCCGATGTCGATTTTCGTATTTTGACCTTGTTGATTTCATATGACATAGAAAAAAGTAACGTGTCATATTAGTAGCCAAAGACGCCTGTTGGGGAAGCGGCACTTTTTGCCACGCGCTCGGTTTGAATGTCAATTCCTTCAGAACTGAATCGTGGCCTGGGTAAGACAAGATTTCCCATGCCTTCGGTCAATTGACTGGTAACAATATCTCCCTAGGCGCTAAATAACACTGAGTGCCG